ACCGTCCTGACCGCGTAGCTCAGTTGGAAGAGCATTGGGCTAGTATTCCAAAGGTCGTAGGTTCGAATCCCACCGTGGTCGGGCATATTTTTCAAGCTCGCCCGGTGTGGATATACACTCAGAGTAACACCACAAATATCATATTCACCCGAGTACACTACACCAACACAAAAAAAAACATATGACTAGAAAACATTGGTATCGAAGGAACTAGATTCTGTTCCGAAATATCACTTACTCGAACCGTCCTGACCGCGTAGCTCAGCTGGAAGAGCATTGGGCTAGTATTCCAAAGGTCGTAGGTTCGAATCCCACCGTGGCCGGGCATATTTTTCAAGCTCGCCCGGTGTGGATATAGACTCAGAGTAACACCACAAATATCATATTCACCTGAGTACACTACACCAACACAGAAAAAAAAAATTATTTATTCTTTTATAAGCAATTCTGTTAAGAAAAGCTATTTGCTTTTGACTGACGTGCCTGAAATGGTTTCGGTTTTTGATGGCATTTATTGTATGCAATATGGTGACCCGTTTGCTGGTGACTTATTCATGGCAAATACCGCTCTACCTTATTATTCTATATATAATGCTCTTACTAATCTGTTTGCGGAAACTCAGTTAAATTATCAACATTGTCTGTTGACAATTGGTTGTAATACTGTTGCAATTTTTAAGACTTCTGAAGGAACCTTTAAAGTATTCGATTCTCATTCAAGAGATTTATATGGGATTCCACACCCTTTTGGAAAATGCATATTAGCATCTGTTGATAGTATAGAAAGCCTGGTGATATATTTCCAGAGTACTGTACCTCCAGGTAATGAAACACCCTTCGAAGTTAAAGGAGTAACTGTTCAGTTAAATTGTGATATAACACAAATAAGCGGACTTGCTTCAAGCGAAAGTGAAAAAGAGCATGTAAAACAAAAATGTTCAGAGTTAACTGAGAGTCAGAAACAAAGCAGACTGCAAAATGCTAGAAAGTATAAAAAAGCTAAGCAAGCAGCAGAAACTGAAACTGAGAAACAAACTAGACTTGGAAATACTAGGGAGTATCAAAAAGCAAAACGAGCTTCAGAAACTGAAGATGAGAAACAAACTAGACTTGAAAATGCTTCAGAGTATCGAAAAGCAAAACAAGCTTCAGAAACTCAACATGAGAAACAGAAAACACTTAAAAATGCTAGGGAGTGTCAAAAAGCAAAACGAGCTTCAGAAACTGAACACGAGAAACAAACTAGACTTGAAAATGCAAGGGAGTATCGAAAAGCAAAACAAGCTTCAGAAACTGAACATGAGAAACAAACTAGACTTGAAAATGCAAGGGAGTATCGAAAAGGAAAACAAGCTTCAGAAACTGAACATGAGAAACAAACTAGACTTGAAAATGCTAGGGAGTATCGAAAAGCAAAACGAGCTTTTGAAACTGATCATGAGAAACAAACCAGAATTGAAAATGCTAGGGAATATCGAAAAACAAAACAAGCTTCTGAAAAGGAGAAACAAACTAGACTTGGGAATGTTAGAAATTATTGAAAAGCAAACTATAGTTGCCAGTGCTAATCAGAACAAGAGAAAACGTTTGTGCGCTTCTACTCAAATTATAAATCAGCAGGATTATTTAAACAAATTTGACATTGAAAAAGATGGTAGTATCCATGAACAGAGTTGGGCAAAAAATAACATTAATAAATTTTCTAAATCTATTGAATTCTTTATTAATCAATGCACTATATGTCAAGAAGCATGGCCACTGAACTCTACACCAAGGTCACCTGATTGTTATATATGCTCTCGATGTGCTCGAGACACAAAATCTCCTAGAAAGTTTTCACTTGAAAATGCAATGATTCCTTCTCCAGTGCCAACCGAGTTACAAAATTTAACTCAAGTAGAGGAAATGTTGATTGCTCGCGCTCTTCCTATCATGAGAGTTTACATTAAGCCTGGTGGACAACGAGGTTACTCAGGTCATTGTGTTAATTTGCCACAAAATGTTAAGGAACTTGCAACATCATTGCCAAGATATCCCAAAGATTTGTCTGTGATTATTGTCAAAGTCAAGGGTAAAGATAACTCATTTAGAGATGTTGCTGTGAGAAGAGAAAAAGTACATAATGCATTATTATGGCTTGTGCAAAATAATCCTCATTATGCCAAATTACAAATTAATGAACATGCATTAAACTCTTTACCTGAAAATGGCATTCCAGCAGATCTCATGACTGTTGAGACTGAAAATGAAATTATCTCAAATGATGATGTTATGTCAGACTTAGGTCCACCTACTGAAAACCCTTCTGAAGATATAGTTTATACCAACTCGACAGACATGAATAGTTTCTTGCCTGTTGGTGAACAGCAGGAACAAGAAATAGAAGCAGTTAGAAATCAGCTTTCTGCAAATGAACCAATGCCATGGCCCACTATTGAAAGTGAACCATTGAATGAATATCAGATATCACATCTGGCCACTATGGCTTTTCCAACATTATTTCCAGATGGGAAAGGTGATCCCACTAATCAAAGTATCTTGAGGAATGTTCCTCTTCAAGAAAGAATTAATTGATGGTAAATGGGTATACCGTTTTGCTAACACCCTAGATTTTCATACTGGGCATTTAATATGATTCACAGAAAGCGTATTCTACAACAAAGTGGAATATTCATTAAACAAAATCCAGATGAAGCACACCTCACTATTGATGAGTTACGTGAAATGGCTGCAAGTGACAACTCCACTTTATTGATGTCCAAAGTGTCCAGATACATTGGCAATATTGCAGGTACTAATGCTTACTGGAATAAAGTGAGAGAGGAGCTGAAAGCTATAATAACTAATGTTGGAGCACCAACATTGTTCTTTACTTTCTCATCAGCAGATATGCACTGGCCTGAATTACACGCTCTCTTTGGAGCAAACACTGGTAACGCCACTAGTGAGGCAAGGAGACAAAATGTTATTAACAGTCCACATATAGTTGATTGGTTCTTTACACAGAGACTAGAAAAGTTTGTAAAACACTGGCTTTATGATACACTTGGTGCAAAATGGCACTGGTTTAGATATGAATACCAAGGTAGAGGTAGTATCCATTGTCATGATACTGCTAAACTACATAATGGCCCAGGTTTGTGTCAACTTACTCAGACTGCTTTGAAAGGTTTCTTAGCTCAAAAATTTAAAAATGAAAATGATTGCTCTGGCACAACTGAACTGGACCAGGATATTGAAGCTGGTCAGAAAGCAGCTGCACAGTATGACACAACTGTCAATCCTAATCCGCCAGATGAGGATATGTGGATAAGACCTGAGGTTCATTCATGTCAAAAAAGTCATCACGACATTCCTGAACATGAAAAACAATCAGATTATGTAGATCTATTAAACATGGTTCAACGACACACTCGTTGTAGTACAAGTTATTGTCTTAGAAAAAAGTCAAATGAAACAGAGTTGAAATGTAGATTTCACTTCCCTTTTGATATTTGTCCTAAGACAAAATTAGAATTTGAAAAAATTCATACCTCAGGTGATAATGAGCATTATTGAGCTAAGATTGTGACTAAACGAAATGACTCTAGGTTAAATAACCATCAACAACTTCAGCTCCAAGGATGGAGAGCTAACTGTGATATTCAAGTTGTTATTGATCACTATGCTTGTGTTGAATATCTCACAAAATATGCAGCTAAAGGTGAGCCAAGATCACCTATATTGAAACAGGCATTCAATTCTATTGTGCAAAATGTCGACAGTAATACTGACCCTCATAGAGTTATTAAGAAGGTAGTTATGAAATCTCTTGGTGAAAGAGATTATGCAGCTCAAGAGACAATGCATTATTTGTTGTCATTAAAACTCCACAGCTCATCCTTTAAAGTGATGTCAGTTAGTCTAAATGGTTCACGTAGAGTGCGTGATACTGCAAGTAATGACGAGGGTGAATCATGCACCGATTATTCACTTCTTGATGTGTATGCTAATCGTGAACAATATGACAGTTCACAAAATATAATAAATATGAACTTTGTTCAATTTGCTACAACTTACAAAGTTGTTAACAATGAACTGACAAAATTGCCAGAGAACATTATACCACGAATATTTGCAACATATTCTCCTAATCCCAAAGGTCCAAATTTTGGCCTTTATTGTAAATATCAACTTTTGAGGTATAAACCGTGGAGAGCAACCCAAAATAATGCATGGGGTGACCAAGAACCAACTGACGAGGTTCTGATCAATTGTTGGCATGAATTTTTACAAACACCTTGTGGTCAGTCTAATGTCCCAGACTGGGGACATTACAAGCTGTCATTGAAAGTCAAGAAGCAGAAGATGAACCTTCTGAAGGACAAGAGACAACTCGAGAAGAGTGGATGATATTATCAGACCTCAACACTCCTTTTGACAACTCTGAACAAACACCAGAGTCCACATATGACTGGCAACTCGACAGAGCCAATTATTCAGAACAACAAATTCAAGAAATGCCAACATGGATAAAAACAAACAAAGAGGAATACACTGTTGATGAGCAATATGATGTTGTTGACATCGACAGTTTTAGCGAAATGCAAAAACTTGCTTATGATATTGTTAAGTCTCATTTTGATGATACGTCATACCTATGATACGACTTACCTATTGCGGTAATAGTAGAATTTGAAAACTATAGAGGACCTGTTTTTAATGAAAACCAACCATTGTGTATCCCAATAATTCCAATCACTGTCGCATCACAGACAGAAATAGGTTTCCATGAGAGGCAACAGTTACCTCTTAGGCTTGCTTGGGTTCTAACAATACACAAGAGCCAAGGACTCACACTTCCAAAAGCATGGATAGATATTGGCAAATCTGAAAGAACTGCTGGAGTTTCTTATGTTGCTATTAGCAGAGTAAAATCACTTGCCTCTTGTGTCATTGAACCAATGACGTATGAACGATTAACAAGCTTGAAATCGTCAGCCAACTTACAATATAGGCTTGAAGAAGAAAACAGGCTAGATCAGTTAGCACAGGCTACTAGCAGTGCATTCAGAACAACAAACTATTGAGTTTGAATAAGAGAGGGATTTCATATATGGATCCCAGTTATAGTTTGGTATGTACTTTGACTATATACCCTTTCCAGTAATTTTAGTCCTTGTTATCACTGTATGTGTGAAAATATTATGATTTGCAAGACAAAAGAATGGTAAGTTTTTTGTTTGTTTAGCCCCTCCCCCTGCCCTACTTTTATTTTAATTAATTTATGTGCTACTATGTTTCCACATAAATATCTCATGCTACCAATTTTTTTCAATAGTTTTGCAATTCTGATGGATGTGAATGGTGCCATGTTAACTGCTGGATGAAACCAAGTTGTTGTTACAGCCCAAATATAATATGGATATATTATACATCACATGAAAATGGATGGTAGCTTCTGGATTAACAGAAATGTCCATGTATTTCTACTAAAACAAGAATGCTGATTTACAAGATTGTATGGATATATATTACATATATTACATCACATGAAAATGGATGGTAACTTCTGGATTGACAGATTCGTACATGTATTTGATTTCTATTAAAACAAGAATGCTGATTTACAAGATTGTATGGATATACTACATCTATAATGCAATTGGATGGAATCTGCCATGTATTATTAAATTATCATACTTGTTTCCAATCTATACCATATGGATGTCAGGAACATTGTATGTCACAATATCACATACCTATATAAACAGTAACCTGTTTTACATCAATATTGGACAATAATGATGGCCAACAATGGACACTACCTGTACATGCTAAATAAATACGAAACATCTACGTAGATATTGGACAAAAAAACCAATGGTGACACTTGGTTATCAAATGGAAAATACAGTAGACTGTCATTACTTTGAAAGAATATGAAAACTTAACTTACAACAAACTAGTCATATCACGTCTAAAGACCATAATTATGTTTGTTCTTCCTAATTGTGTTCTTCTAGACGTTTTGACAAGTGAAGACGGTTTAAAACATTGGTACCAACAATCACATGCAGTAATTATTGCATGTTGTAATTTCGAATTTTTTTTTAACAAAATAAATTGTTCATACATACATACAGTGTGATAAATGAATTTTATAGGTATAATCACTCCCAAGGGCTTTGGTTGTAAGGCTGCACTTTCCTTGCGATAGTAACTTCTAGTTATATGATGTTTTCTCTGTTGAACAACTAAAATTTTGTTACACTATTATTGCCGTAATTTTCCGAATGGCCAACCGATTTTCCGAATATGTTAATTCTAGAAAAGTTGGGGGATATAAATACCCCCAATACCCCCACCCCCCTCGCTACGGCCCTGCTCGTCTAAGAGAAGACTTATCGCTGAAAGTTGGAAGCTATGGAGGGAGAAATACAGCAACTACTGTACTTCGTTACCTCGAGACTACAACAAGAAAGCGAACAATATCAGTTAGCGATGTTTAAACATGCGATCGGAGATGATGGCTTAAAGGTCATTAAAACATTCAGTTACGCAACAGAAGAGAATGTTAATGACTGCTGAGTTGAAACCCATGGCAAAGACTTGCAATTTCTGTAAGTGTGATAGTTTAATTTGTGACCTTATTGTCCTGGGAATTAGAGACCTTACGATTTTAGAACGACAACGCGACGGCAACGGCTACCAATACAATAGATCATTGAAAAGAATTGAGTAATTACAATACATGAATAATTTAGACATTGTCCTCGCTCTGTTTACAACGCTAAATCACAGATTTTCACGCCTTGATACAACGGCTGCATTCCAAGCCACAACAAGTGCAACTTCAAACTGGGTTTAGCAGAACTCTTCCCAACCATAAAACCCATGTCTTCAACTTCTAAAATTGTATTAAATTCATACGATTGATAATATACGACGAACTATCTTTACTACCATTTATTTGGGGGAGTTTGTTTTGGCCGTCGTCGTTGCCTTGCCGTCCTAAAATCGTAAGGTCTCTAATAAGAACGACCAAACGACGAAGGAGCTACTACGGACAAGAGCGAAGCGAGGAAGTTACGGATATGCAAATGAAATATCTTGCAGTGCCCAAATATATATCAAACAAGTCAAGTCGAAAGGAAAGAGGCCAAGAATTTTCGAAGGAAATATCTAGAAACGGTTACAATCTGGCAAGAAAGTTTCATGCAAATTTTGTGGCTACGAACACGCGCCAGAAGAAAAAGACTAATGATCAGAAATGTTCGACATGGGGGAAAACTTGTAATCGATGCAAAGAAAGAAACAATTTTGCTAAGAAATGCAGTAAAACCTCCGTTTACAGTATCGAGAGCGAAAACGAGCACGAGGAAATCAGCATGGTCACAGCAATGCGAGAAAAGGTTGTGTTCGCGAAAATGCACATCAGTAACAAATCTGTAAAGTTCAGATCAACTGTGGTGCAAGTGCGAATATATTACCGCTCAAGTTTGCCAAAGATGTCGAACTTACTCTGTGTACCAAGACACTCGTGATGTGGAATGGCACGAAGGTCAAACCCCTGGGATCTTGTGCTCTACCGGTGATTAACCCAAAGAATGACGAAAAGCATCAAGTAAAATTTCTGGTCGTCGAAGAGAATTAGTGGACACCATTGTTGGGTTTGAAAGTAGTGAGAATCGAAAATGAAATTGTTAACAGTTCACAGTGAAAACTTTGTCAATGCAGTTGTGGAGAAATATGACAATGATCCTGTCAACAAGTATCCAGATGTTTTTAATGAGAAGCTTGGGACACTGCCTGGCAAGGTTCATCTTCAAGTAGAAGCCACTTGCAAACCTGTGGTGTTACCCGTGAGAAAAATACCCGTGGCTGTGAGAGAGAAGTTCAAGAATGAACTCAAAAGATTAGAAGACCTTTAAAAAGTCATAGACCTTATCGACGAACCAACTGAATGGGTTGGTTGCCATGAAGAAATCAGGTTCGTTTCGGATTTGTATTGATCCGAAACCCTTGAATGCTGCTTTGAAGAGGGAACATTATCAAATCCCTGTGACTGATGATCTATTGCCAGACCTGACGGATGCGTGTGTGTTTACGTAATAAAGTGGATCTAGCTTCAGCTTTCTGGCATCTCGAACTGGATGAAGAGTCTAGCGTCCTGACAACTTTCGCAACTCCTTATGGTTGTTTCACATGGCTTAGTCTTCCATTTGGTCTCAATGTCTCGTGCGAGATATTCCAGCGTCTAAATCAAAAGTTATCTATCTATCTATCTATCTATCTATCTATATATCATGTGTAGATGTCAACACAAGGGCATAAAGTTAAATTCCCAGAAGCTAGAGTTCAAGTGCAAAGAAGTTCCATTTTATGGACATTTGCTGATTAAAACCGGATCCAGAGAAAGTTAGAGCAATAAGAGAAATGCCACGTCCAGAAAACCGAGAAGACGTGTTACGCCTAAACGAGATGCTAACTTACCTTAGTCGTTTCCTGCCTCATTTGTCTGATGCGATAAAACCCTTGCGAGATCTTACCCATAAAGCTGTCGGTAGGCGAAGAATTATTCCTTGTAATTCCTTCGGTGCTCGATATATGGGTTTCTTGAGAATCGATTCAAGAGGTTTGTGAGTGGACAATTGTCTTTCGACCAAATGTGTTATCGTTGAACTTTTCCACTGCGACAACGACAGCTAACATGTCCTCAATTTGGGCACAACGAGATTCCGTTTCCGTTAGAGCTCGGCTTGCATACGCAATTGGCTGTCCGTTCTGGATCAAAGCGGCTCCAAGACCACTTTGGCTGCTATCACTTTGGATTTCCAGTTGTTCTGTGGGTTGGTAGTATGCCAAGACTGGTGCAGCTGAGATGAGCTTCTTCACGCTATCCCATGCTTTCTCGTGAGCATCATTCCAACTCCACAGAAATACAACGTCGAAGTCCGGAACCAAAGTTAGAAAACAATGCTGTTAGCAGACACCCTTTCCAGAGCCTATGTTCCAGAGACAACTGGTCAACGAGAACCGGAGTTCGAAACCATCAACATGCTAAAGTATCTGCCAATATCAGAGGAGAGACTTCTGCAGATACAGCGAGAAACCGAGAATGATGAGTCTCTCCATGTCCTCAAAGCCGTAATCCAACAGGGCTGGCCTGAACAAAAAAACCCGCCCTACGAAATATCATCTCTGATCTCTCCATATTACAACATGAGAGATGAAATGTCCATTCAAAATGGGCAACGTGTTGCAGCTGATCTTTTCGAACTTGCTGGAAGAACCTGCCTTGTCACCACTGATTACTTCAGTAATTTCTTCGAATTGGATCATCTTTGAAGTACGACCTCAACGTCTATGATCAAGAAACTGAAAGCTGATTTTTCAAGACATGGCGTTCCTGAACAGCTAGTAACAGACAATGTAATAATCAAGCTTGGTAACTTGGAAAGAAAGAATGGCAACCGGGATCGATAAGAAAACGTTTGGATGAGAGATCCTACGAAGTGCAAACACCCTGCGGTATTCTGCGAAGAAACAGAATTCATTTAAGAAAGTCCACTCCATTCTCAAACAACGATGATGCACCTACTCAAATTCAAGTGACGAAACCGTCCAAAGAACCATTACCTCAACCACAAAGATTGTACCTGCGGCGGAGCCGAGTTTGTCACCAACAACCTCAACCACAATCCCTCCATCTCAAGCAAATAAACAAGAATTAAAGTACCAGTTTTGGACACACCGAAGTTCGAAGATCGCAGTGTTTGCGTCGATTACCAACACATTTGAAGGATTTTGTTTTGAAACATTTGAACATTAGGACATGCTTAGACTTATTTCGATTTGAAAACTAGATTTGAAAACTTGACTAGAAAACTTTAAAAAGAAAAGCTAATTAGGTTTATATATTGTGTAGACAAGGTTGTTTTTGTCAGTAATAAATCTTGCTCGTCTAACACAAGACTGAGAAAATAACAGCGAACAAATGAAGTAAGTATACAAGAAATAAATGTAAAAATATTACACTGTATAACGTGCAAATTAAAAACGAACCACACAGACGGAAGTCCTCAGTTGATGTAACCCAAGAATTGTATGGCAGTACACACCATACAATCAGTCATGATTCTATAGGCCCGTTTACACGGGCGATTTTTGCTGCGATTTTAGTTGCGATTTTCTCCTTTTGGAGGATATGAAGGAGTAGATTACTTAATGTCGTTGTTATGAAATTTCATAACCTGGAACATTTATAACTCATCCACTCCTTCACATCCATCAGAAGAAGAAAATCGCCCTAAAATCGCAGCAAAAATCGCCCGTGTAAACGGGCCTTATGATGTATCTCATCATACAGAGCGCTAACATTGTTACACACGTATTTGACAAGCTCGCCAGTACAAGCTTCTAACAAGATGTGAGACTTTTGCGTGTGTATGTATGCATGAAAGATTTATCCTTTCAAAACTGAAGCCTGGCAATGTGACTTACGAACAATGGCAATTCCCCCCCCCCCAACCCAACTTCATTCTTATTACCCTAATTTAACATTACAAATATGCATGTCTAATAATATAATTTCTTATTCATTGAATTTTTTATGTCACAATTCTGTAATAATCATAAACATACCTTGTCCTTGCATTTCAACACTTGGCAAGTTAACATTGTGGTTATCACCAAAAAAAAACATATTGACAATTATTTATTTTTACATTCGTTGGATTTTGGTCAGCCGACATATCTGTATTCGTCACAATCCAGTTACGGATTCATATCTAATAAAAAACAAATTACTTTTCATTATTTTAATGTTCTAAAATGTTAAAAATGTTATGTTAGTGTATCAGCTAGGTTACAATTCGTTAAGATAGCGGTTATCATTAGAATGATATCCGCTATCCAAGAATATCCAATCTTGGGGAGGGGGATGAGGATCGAGGACGCACCCTTACTATTTGGGGGAATAAATATATAATTATCTCCCCGCCTACTTTCCCCCCACATTTTGCATTCTCTACATGCAATTCATGATACACGATTAATAGTTATTTATTGTGGTCAAGTTTGGTTTGAAAAATTCAAATTTTAACGGTTTGGTTCCAGGGCAGATCGACTCACCAGTGCGGAGAAAGTGCTTTTGTTTACATTAAGTTGTTCTAATTCTTCAAGGAGAAGCGATGGAAAGGATTTTACAAGTTAGGAAGATTGAATAAACATAGATGTGTAGCCGCTGCTTTTGAAGCGTTATTTTAACGGCGAGTTTTGTTGAAATTTCTGTCTTGCCCAAGTTCGCCCGGCGTCACAGCTACCTACATTTGCGTTATGATAGTGGGTAATATTAGATGATGGATAATATAAGCCGGGTTCAACGAAATGGCCTGAAAATCGACGAGAGTGAGGTAAATGACACAGTAAACAAGTAAGTCCACCAATATTTTGAATCAGAGAGCATTTAGACATTATTTTTTTACAATATTTTACAATATATAAAGTGAATATTATATCGCTTTCTCAAGATGTTTTTATATCATTATATCAAACTAAAACCACCCCCAAATCACACTTAATACATAAAGGAAACTAAGTAGGTTATAGTTTATAATTTAAAGTCATATTTAATGCAAAATATAATAAAATTAAAAAATAAATAAATACCCACACAGAGCCTGGGCCACCTGTGTTGTCACGAGCGAAAACCTGAAGTTTCTTTGTATTTACGAGCCGAACCAGACAAACAAAAATTCTGGTCGTCCACAGAGTATCAGGTGACATTTTCAAGGTCACTGAGCTAAAAATTCCGATTTCTCGTGAAGTATCCAACTTTTTCAAGACCTTTCAAGATGTGGGCACAGATTTTCACTACTCAGATATTACACTTTGACAACGGTCACTTCGTTTTTCTTAATCGTTCAAAAATCGAGGGCCGAAAATTTCGGCAATGAAGTTGTGCAATTTGGCAAGGGTGGGTTGACTACAAATTTTTTGTAGTTCGCTGTAACTACAGCTACTTCAAAAATATGTAGTCAGCTACAACTACTGCTACTTTTGAACAAAGGTAGTTCGCTACTGACTACAGCTACTGCTTAAAAAATGTAGCGAACTATTTCGCTATTTCTAATATATTTTTAGTTTTACTGTATTTGGAGCATCTACTATTAACTCAGGCTGTAATGTAACCTATAACAAATCGACTTACGAGTAGCAACAGACAACAGTAAACACAAAGCAACATTTTTATAAGCATGCACTACAGTGTTGAGAGTTCAGGAGAGCAAATTGACTATTGAGTATTGATTTTAAGCAGACCGTGTCTCAATATCATGCTATTCTATCGAGTTGCTAACAATTTTAAAAAGTAGCGAATAGCGGATTCACCGTTTGAAAAGTAGCCAACTACTTGGCTACTTTTAGGCAAAATGTAGTTCGCTATAACTACAGCTACTGTTTTAAAAAAGTAGTCAAAAACTACTGGCTACTTGAAAATTGTAGTTCGCTACAGTAGCGAACTACAACTACTTCGCTACTACCCACCCTTGCAATTTGGTATGTGTTTTGATAAACAGATTGCATGCACATTATGTATCTTATGACACGCAATCAGTATTCCACTGCATGAGATAATGTCACTTGATCAGCAAATGCGTCTTTAGAACATATTATCATGTCATATCACTTGATTGTTGATTATGTAAAGCTATGTTGGGTTTTACTTGACTATCACCGAAACCATAAACTTGGAAAATCTGAAAATTTTATTTTAACAAAACAAATGCACTATTCGCGTTTATTTGAAGACTGTATCACTGGAATCATTGCAATATAAATTCTCGCGTAAATAACAAATGCCTTTCAAAATATGCAACATGAATAAATACATGTTATCTAAACTTTATGTTGCGTTTTATTCGACTATTATACTGCTAACTTAGTGAATCGTTATTTTTGACAAAGCAGACCCGCTATTCGCAGTTATTCAGACGCAGTTTTAAATATCACCGCAATAAATAAGCGATATAAATAATTATTGTACACATATGTTCGTTTTAACATGACTACAATATAAATGCAGGCTGCCTGCATCGAGATTCATTATTATTGAAACAAATGGCATACATGCAAAGCGAACAAATTCGGCCGGATTTGTTATTTTTAACATCGCGGACGTCTACTGACAAAACAAGCCCTACAAATCAAATCTGCATTTAATTTAAACTGAAATCTCTGTCCTGGTTCAGTCCATTTCTTGCCTTTTCAAGATTTCCTCATTTTTTGTTTTTCTTGTTTTGGCACAGATACATGAACGCTTAGCGTAATTATTTTTGGACTTTGACAGTGACTTTGTATAATTTTATCGTGATGTCAAGGAAATGAACAGGTAGGTATTCTTTAATAATCTAGCCAAAATTAAGCAACACACAGCAATAGTTGTTACTGCATCATGTATACCTCGTCAGAATATTCTGCGTCAAGGCTGGTCATGGATTTTCCCACTTCCGCCTTTGTTGTAGTTAAGCTTTGATTTTGATCACAATATTTAGGCTATTATATATTCACTACGCAAACATGCACACCAGTCGAAGCATTTGTTATGAAGTGTTAACGTTATTGAAGCTAATTTCTCTGTGCATCAAATATTGCTCAAGTATATCTGCTTATGTACGTGGTCACTGCATGTAGCAGTGCGTATAAATTTCAAATAAAATTTGAACAAGAAATATTTTATACATTTCTGGTGTAATTTCCGCTCTTTAATAACATGCACAAGAAATAGAAAACATAATTGACCTTCTAACATGCAATCTTATCTTTGTACAAAGAAACAGATGCACTCATGAATCATGAAGTCCTTATTCTTTGAAATGCAAAAACGAAAGCTCCAGTGCGCAGACTGATCTAGAATTTCCAGGCTAAGGTATTTCCGGAAAGCGTCACAAGAATCTTGGGCACATGCTAAAAGACGGATGCGGATACAGAGTTGACGGACGGAGCGGATATGAAATATGGGCATAGACGCGCGTATTTTGGATTAAAACCACATATTATCCTGGTTGGTTCGACCGTCATGTACGACAAAATAAAAGCTCTAGATCTTTCAAGTCTAATGGCTGGTTTACATTATCAAAGTTTCTGTGATCATAGTAGGAATTTTGCATAGGTACATTCTAAGTTCAAGACTATAAGAGTCTAAAGCGGCGTTGTAATTTTATAGTTTGGCATAATGTAAAAACCTGCATATCGTATCTTGAATACATTATTATTTAAAATTTTGGAATAAAACAGTAATAATATTAAGACTAAAATTTAGTCGAATTTCAAAGCAATCGTAGCAAAATTGGATTAGGTTTTTTTGTACTCGGTAGAACTCAATGGACAACTTGCATGTTAGACTAAATTTTAATGTAAGTAAAGAGAATCATACACCACAGCTAAAAAGAACATAATGAAATTAGTAAAATTGCAAAATTTGGTTGCGAAATGATATAAAAAAGCTTGGAGAATATAGCCTAGCAAAATTTGCAAATTTTGTATATGTCTGTATTACGTGCGGAAATAGTTACCATTTTCAGCTAAAAAATGGTAACAATTTCCGCAGGTAAAACAAACATATACAAAATATGCAAACTTCGCAATTTTTGCAATCTTACAAATTTTAATAAGTTCTTTACGGGAATTTACTTTTTTGCGTAGATTAAAAATTAGTCTAACATGCAAGTTGTCTATTGTAGAAAGGTTTTGTAGATGGAAATTTCGAAATTTTATACATTTATTAGACCTAACCAGGAGCAGTTGCAAAATATTATGCAACTATAGTCTATAGGCTCTCTGGCAGGACTCAATGGCATTTCCGGTTAGGGTTCTAAGATCATTCACTTCCAATCATGAAACCTCCATCATAGATAATCGACAACTTGGGACACGCATGGGACTTGTTGTCCATTGTTTAGAGGGGGCTCCAGTTGCTAGGCGATATATTCTAGAATATATAAGTTTTCAAATTCCGGATCCTGGTCTACAAATACAAGAATGAATCTGTAGGGACAGTGGGATCTGAACTGGTTTGTTGTGTGGAGGTGTTTGTTATACATTCAGAGTGTTTGTAGAGGTTCCACTGTGGCATCTATAATCATTCTCTGACACAATCACACTATAAATCAATCGTCCTGCTGCCGTAATTTCTTTTCAGTCTATTATCATTTACCGTCACCACTGTATACTATAACTTCTATATATTATCTTTAATTAATTGACTATCACTTGTATCGAAGATGTCGACATTGAGCTATAGGAAATACTGATAGGAAAGCATCATGGATGAATATGATTATGAATCGCCTGCGTGCCATACATCATACATGGGGGGATATTGCAGGACTGGAAAAAAGACAACACGAGCCGCTGCAACCGAGTATTTTCAACTAGTCAACCGATTCTATCTTATCTGTATGTGGTAGACACTAGACACAGCAACAACTGTCAATTTTCAAATAAATAAATAAATAAATAAACTGATGAATTTATTATTGAACAGCGATCAAATATACACTTCATAACATAGTATACTCAACAAAGAGGTGGAAAGTAAGTATCGGAACCTGGGGACCTACTGTAGTTCCCAGACCTTTTGGGGATCTAAATTTTTGCAGACATTTTCACAGACACTTTTTGATGTTTGATAGCTAGCTACTTCTGAAAATCACACTAAGCGAAATATTTAAATTACTAAATACCTGATATTGAAATGTTGAGTACTGTAGTATTTTAACCTTAAAACCCAACTATACTAAGTAAAACTCCCTTTTAATACAGCTGTCCAGTTCACCTCGAGGTGCCTGTTTTTCCCGCCGGAAGTACTAACTCCCGGATGTTACACTCCTTTTTCCCTGGATTAAAACCAGAGTCCCTGCAACATAACAACTAAACTAATAATGTAAACACTCTAACCTAACAGTTTATAATCCATTAGTGTTTTATACTCTAAAATTAATGTGATTACTCACGAATAATAGTCCGGTGTCTGTCTATCTCTTTGCGGATATCGGGTTGCTGGGACTGCATTTTCTTCGCTAACCATTTGTTGGTCTGGAACGGGTTGCTCGTTGAGATCTGGATCCATGGCGTCATTTTCGTTTTCTTCGGGTATTTATCTTTGAATCACCTGATCTTGATGACGATGAACTACCCGGTCGTCTTCCAACTGTATGGTATAAGAAACTGGCCCGGTTTGTGTATTGATAACTCCTGGACACCACTTTTGTTGTTTTCCAAATTCTCTCGAATATACTAAGTCACCTGGTCGTAATTGTCGATCCACTGCATGTTGATCGTGTAACTCTTAATTTCTGCTTCTTCTGTTGATTCTGTACTCTTTGTCTTACATCTGGATGTAGTACGTCCAAGCGAGATCTTGGTTTTCTGCTCATAAGCATTTCCGCTGGCGCTATCCCTGTGGTTGAGTGTGGCGTGATACGGTATTTGAAGAGAAACCGAGACACTCTGGTTTCCAAACTTTCCTTATTTGACATCTTCTTCATCCCTTCCTTGAACGTCTGGACCGCCCTTTCTGCAAGTCCGTTGGAGGCTGGATGATAAGGAGCATCCTTCTGTGATGAATGCCGTTTTTCGCCAGAAATTCCTCGAATTCTTCGCTGCAAAAATTACTACCGTTATCACTAACGATTGTTGTAGGAAGGCCGTGGATTGCAAATGTTGATCGAAGTTTTTCAGTTGTTGCTCTCGATGTTGCCACATTCGTTGGATGCACTTCGAGCCATCTTGAGTACGCATCGACCATGACGAGGAACATTTTCCCCAAGAATGGACCAGCATAGTCAATATGAATTCTTTCCCATGGTCGACTTGGCCATTCCCACGGGTGCAGTGGCGCTTCAGGAGGATTCTTTCTATTTATCCGGCAGTTGTTGCACGTTCGTACTTTGTTTTCCAAATCGTTATCCATGTTTGGCCACCACACGTAGCTTCTTGCTAGACTTTTCATCTTACATATTCCTGGGTGGGTTTCATGTAATTCGTCAACCACTTGCCTTCTTCCTTGGGGTGGAACAACCACTCGGTTTCCCCAAAGTATACAGTCATCTTGAACACTCAGCTCGTCTCGTCGTTGAAAATATGGTTGAAACTCCCCATCTGGACACTTGCTAGGCCAACGTTGTTTAATTAATAAATTTCAAAACTCTAGCAAGTACAGGAGTTCTCTTTGTCCAGTTCTTCACTTGCTCTGCTCTTATTGGAGTAGTCTCCAATAGTTCCATGAGTAAGATTGTTTCTTCAGGAACTGGTGTTGAACCTGGGGTGTCTGGCAATGGTAATCTACCGAGGGCATCAGCATTTGCATGCATTCTGACTTCCTTCTTTGTACTGAATGGCGTAGTCGTACGCAGACAAAATTAATGCCCACCGCTGAATTCGAGCTGCAGCCATTGGTGGTGTCATTTTATCCGGATGAAGTACCCGCTCAAGCGGCTTGTGATCTGTTAGTATGGTGAAATGCCGACCATACACGTACTGGTGAAATTTCTTGACACCAAATACGATGGCTAGTGCCTCTTTGTCTAGTTGAGAATAGTTTTTTTCAGCTGCGGACAATGATCTCGAGGCAAATGCAATTGGTTGTTCTGTGTTGTCTTCCATCCGGTGTGACAAAACAGCCCCCAAGCCATATGGTGAGGCATCGCAAGCCAGTATTAACTCCTTTTCTCCGGGTCATAATGCACCAATAGATGTGAGGACTTCAATAACTCTTTGGATTTTCTAAATGCCTCTTGGTGCTCTTCACTCCATTTCCAGCTTTTCCCTTTTTCCAACAGGCTGTGCAGTGGTGCCAGAATCGTTGATAAATTTGGTAAATACTTTTGGTAATAGTTGATCATTCCCAAGTATGATCGAACTTCAGACACATTCGTCGGTGCCGGTGCATCGGTGATGGCTCTGACTTTCTCTTGGATTGGTTGTATTCCTTGGCTATTTATCTTCTGGCCTAAATACACCACCTCGTTCACCGTTTTAGAACCTCTTCTAAATTTGCTTAATGTTCCTCATCATTCGAACCAGAGACCAAAATATCATCCACTCGCACAACCACGAAAGGAATCCCCTGCAGTAGGTTTTCCATAGTTCGCTGGAAAATCCCAGGGGACGAGGACACTCCATATGGCAATCGATTATACTGAAAAAGTCCTTTGTGTGTGTTGATTGTAGTATATATTTTTTTTATTCATCCTCCAATAAGATTTGTTGATAGGCTTGACTCATGTCCAGCTTGGTGAATTTCTCTCCACCACTTAAAGTGGCAAAAAGATCTTCTGTCTTGAGAATCGGGTAATTGTCTAACTTTGCAGCTTGGTTGACAGTTACTTTATAATCCCCACAAATTCTTATCGACTTATCATCCTTAACGATTGGTACTATTGGCGCTGCCCAATCTGCAAACTGGACCGGCTCTATAGTTCCCTCTTCTTGCAATCTTTGTAACTCCTTTTCTACTTTTTCCCTCAATGCATAGGGAACAGGTCTTGCCTTGCAATACTTTGGACTTGCATCATCAGCCACATATATTTTGGCTTTGGGACCAGAAAATGTTCCCAACTCTTCATGAAACACTTCCTCATACTTCTCAAGTAACTTATTAACTTTGACTGAGGTATTCTTGTCCTCTTTTAACTGAAATAAATTCTTCCAATTTATTTTAATCTTTTGGAGCCAGTTTCTGCCAATCAAGTTGGGGCCCTTCCCCGTTATGACTAGTAAAGGCCATATGCCTTCTTGATCTTCATACTTCACCGATGTCTCCACCTGACCCAACAATTTAACTTGCTCTCCCGTATAGGTATTTAGTCTTACCTTTGATTCCTTCAGCTCTAGGTTTGGGTGTTTTTTCTTCAATAATGTATATGTATCCTCATTCATTACACTAACTGCAGCACCAGTGTCTACTTCCATCTTTAGACTTTCATTGCTCAACAGTACATCAACAACATATGGCTCAGCTTGCTCTTTGCCCAGACTATAAATCCCATAGTTGTCATCTTCCTCTTCGATCTCGTCATCCTTCATGTTTAAATAGTTGTTGCTAGTGCCTGAGTTAGGGTTGTCGTTTCGTTGATTTTTTCCAGTCGCCTTAGTGTTGCTTCGACATTTTCTTGCTATGTGTCTTTTCTTGTGGCACAGGAAACACTCAGCATCGCGAAATTTGCATTGTTGAGGGTCATGTTTACCCCCACACCGACCACATTCAGGCTTTGACCATGGTTGGTTTCCTTGTCTTTGGTTGTCCACATGGTGTAATGTTGCAGGTTTCTCAGTATTTATATTTGCATTGGCCATTTGATGTATTAAATCTCGTGCATTCTTTACTGCAGTCTCCATTGATGTAGCTATTTTCATGGCTTTCTTAAAGTCGAGAGAACTTTCTGCTAACAATCTACGCTGAATCTGTTCGTCATTTATTCCACACACCAATCGATCACGTAACATCTCTTCTAAGGTACTCTTGAAATCACAATGTTCTGAAAGACTTCTTAATTCAGCTACATACGAAGCAATTGACTCACCAGGTTTAAAAATCGTTGCACTATTGCCGAAGGTTTTGGGTGTCGATGTTGTTGTACAAGTTCCACTAGTTCTGCAAACGTCTTCTCTGACGGTTTTCCTGGCGTGGTTAAGTTCCTTAATCAACTTATACGTCTTGCTACCACAAACACTCAATAATATCGCTCGTTGTTTATCTTCGTCGTCCACGCCATTTGCTTCGAAATAAAATTCCAACCGCTCAATATACTGACTCCATTCCTCTTGTGAGTCATATTCTTCTAGTTTTCCATGATTTGGCATTTTATCTCGTCGCCAAATGTAGTATTTTAACCTTAAAACCCAACTATACTAAGTAAAACTCCCTTTTAATACAGCTGTCCAGTTCACCTCGAGGTGCCTGTTTTTCCCGCCGGAAGTACTAACTCCCGGATGTTACAAGTACCTAATCAATCTACTAACTCAATACCTAAATTATAGCCCTGGCAGTGGGGAATTTGTTTTTAATTCTGTAAGACTGTAAGTGTAACTAGATATGACTACATATTAAAAGACATATTGCTTCACACGACCTCAAATCTTAATGAACATAATCCATGTAAGGGAAAAAAGACAGTCACAAACACTAATTTTGTTATTTTCCCTCGCCCTCGGGCCGGGGATCGTGGGTTCGATTTTCGATAGGGACTCATGGGAAATTATAGTCAGCCAACGCTCTGCCGAACGTCGTGGGTTTTAGGAAAGAACAGTTCTAAATAACAACTTTCTTGGGTATGTAAAATAACATTTAAGATAATATCAGAAAGTAGGTCGTCTGTATTAGTGTGATTAGTGAAATAATATGTATCGTATACAAACTGGAAATATATGCATGCAGCAATCCCTCGCCTTTTTTTCTCCAAACATTGATTAAAGGCTGATGCACACTTGATGTGAAACTTGACTCGTGTAATAGCATTTTGTTTGGACTATACCATCAGTGGAAATTGTCTTCATACTGAGTTGTGATTCAAATAGCCAATTGTAAGTTACCTTAATTAGTGAGATTTTAGATTTACAATTGTATATATATAGTATATAACAAAATTATTTTAAAAATAAAGTTTCCATTATTTGATTATATTATTATTATTATTATTATTATTATTAATTGGCCAACACTAAGACCCCGTTTACACTATACCGGATTGCTATCGGAATGGGTCAAATTTTGTAGATATCGAAAGGCTGTGAAGATTTTTAATCTCAGAGACCCAAATAAACATGCCAATTCTGTCAAACTAATAAGCATTTGCTACTAACCATTGCTCCGTAACGGCAAATGAAGATGTCGTGACCAGCGAATCCGGTATAGTGTAAACAGGGCCTAAATGCAGGCTCGTATTTACGCTAAGTGTTGTCATGGCAACACTAATATGATAATTTAAAAATTCTTATGTTTTTTTTTTGTACAAAACGGCAAAAATAGTTGAATAATTTGTACTTTTAACTATACAACAATGAATGTCCAAAATATACTAAATGTGAGCGGATCGTTTTATTTATATATGTGACCACTATATATTTAGATTTCCTGCATTTGTACTTCAGCGAGTGCCGGTGGCGTGTTTGTCTCGGGCGTTGCGTGCCATCTATTAAACATGCTGCTAATTGGTGGTTCGATTCCTGCAATGGCCAATCTTTTGTTTTTCGTTCTCATATTTTTTTTCTTTACGATTTTTCCTAAGATTGCCTTTATACAATACCTTTCGGTTAGATTAGAGTTACAAGATACAAGATACAAGATTTATTTGCTCCTTTCAAATTGCAATTTATATACACAAAGAAATTATTTAAATTATAGTTAACATTATTATTATTAGTAAAATATATTTGTGATCTGTGACTAATTGTTTTGTAATTTTTGAGAAGATTTGAAAGAGAGCTGGCTTCCTGAAATAACCACAGGGCTATATAAATATCAGGAAACCAAATAAAGGACGAAAAAATTATGAAAATTGACAATATATAGTTCTATATCAAATATATTTAAAAGATCGAGAAAGGAGTCCTGCATGACTCCCGATAACGTATAGAAAAAGTTGGAGTTGGACACTGATCAATACTTTCCAAGAAAATCGATTCTAATTTTATATTTAATTTGAGAAATCGGCAAGTCTTTATATGATTCATGTAAAGAATTCCAAATTTTAGCGCCTTGATATTTGATATTGAAAATTCCGAAATTTGTTCTTGCTTTTGGTAGTATATATGTTAATTTAGAAGCAAGCCTCGTATTTTGAGAATAAACATTGCACACAGGAGTAAAGAAATTGTTGAACGTTGGTGGCAACAAGTTGTTATGATATTTGTACATGAAAAGAACCACGTGTAGATTTAGAAGATCAGTCAACTTAATAATATTCAACTGTTTGAAAAGTGAGCTAGAGTGGGCATCAAATTTAGAGAAAGTTATAACACGCACAACCTTTGTTTGGAGTATAATTAAAGGTTTGACAGTTGAGGAATAAACATTACCCTGTATGATTAAACCATATGTTATAAAAGGGTAAATTAAAGCATAATATAAATTAACCAGAATGTTGCTATCTACATAATATCTAAGTTCAGACAAAATTCCTATACTTCTTTTAATCTTTTTTGAAATGAACGTAATTTGTTTTTTCCAAGTTAAATGAGGATCGAAAAAAACACCAAGATACTTTATGTGATCTACTTGTTTAATGACTTTATTTCTTACCGAAAGTTTTATGTCTGTTAGTATATTTTTTTGGTAAGGATGAAATATAAGAAAGTTTGATTTTTCAACATTAAGTGATAACCTATTAGCACATAACCAAGTATCTATATTACTTAATTCTATATTTATATTGGTTTCAAGTTCAAGTAAGCATCTATTTTTGCAAAACAAATTTGAATCATCAGCAAAATGATGAAAATCGAAAAAATTTGAGCATTTATGAAAATCATTGATGTAT